ATACACGAGAAAAGCAAAATCGACTTTTCGAAAAAAGGCCCTATTACCCCCCCCCCCCCCGCCCCCCCACCCCCGCTAAGTCCAACTTTGTCGGTGGGAGCGGCGTTTTCGAGGTCCAAACGCCAAAAAAACCTGGGATCCGTTACGTTGCCGTGACCTTGTTGTTGTTGTCGTTGTCGTTGTCGCCGTCCGTCGGCAGCGTCGTCGTCTGAGCTGCTGTTGATGATGTTGCCGTTGATTGATGCTAGTATGAGTTGTACTGACATTGCGGCGCTACCAGTATCACTCTGGCTTTCATTGTCAGTCGCATTTCATTTGCCGCAGTACATATTCGAACAGATCGTTTCACAATCTCCGGGGCCAAGTATCAGAGTTTACGTGATTCCGGCTCCAGCTATGTACTTTGGATGGCCTCCTAGGATGATTTGCCTTCGCATGGGGCGCGAGGATTATGCAGCTGCTTGCATGGAAGCCGCAGGTTTAGAGAGGTCCGTGCGTCTCGCATCCAGGTGTATGCGTTGGTGAAGGACGGCCTGATCGACCCCTCTGCTTGGCAAGCTGGCTGTGGACAAAGTTGGCACTAATTAGCACTGGCTAGCAGGTTGTCGTAGTTGGTTTCTGGACGGATTTCTAGCAAACAACTCGCTCGCACCTCGCAAGCCTGTCATTGAAGGCAAGTATGGTGGCACAGCATGTGTTCAGCTGACCGTATCACACTCGAGTCGATTCCCCGTCATGGCACGGTGACTGAGCGTTGAGTGATCCCTTGACTGTGATGGCCAACAGCAATCGAATGCTTTGACCGGCATTATTGTAGAACCGAGCGCAGGTGGAAATGGAAACCGGCTTCATGTCTTGAAGTCAATCTTCTCGCTGCGGGTTGATCTCCTGTAGCTACAGTATGTATGTATGTATATATATATATATAAATATAAATTATATATATATATGTATATATATGTGTATATATATATATAGAGAGAGAGAGAGAGAGTATTCCCGCTACGAACCTCTTCGACATTCTCTAAGTGCTCTGTGCAAGGGCGACGCCCCCAAAGCTGATCTCAAGCTGGGAAGCAGCTCCTCGGGCCAAAACTGCTCTTTCCGATGTTAGGGTTAAGGAGGTTGGGTGATAGATGATAATAGGAGTTGGGGTTTAAGCGTTTCGGTTTTTAAGGGTAGGTCGTTTAGGACTGAGGGTTTTTCGGGGTATGGATTGAAGTCAAGGCCGAGCATATCGGAGAATGTGGGAGCTACGGTCTCTCAAGGTTTCAGAGCGGAGGCCCGGCTCTTCAGAAGGTAACACTATCACCTACAAATCCATGGGTCCCAGCTCCCTGGGTCGTCTTCATGACTTGCGGGCGCGACTTTGTCGTGGTTCTGGCCGTGGTCCTTTGTCATCAACCTTTGAATTTGGAGGCTCTGCTTTGCATGCACAGCACCAGACGGCAAGAACAAGCATGTTGGAACAGGTGCCGTGGCGGAGGGTCGTGCTAGACCTATGACAGTTTCTGACGCAATCCCCTCTTCGTGGAAGCCGTTTCACGAACTGTTGACTAAACTAGGAGGAAGAAGGCCTTGCAAGAACTTACGCCGCCCTGGCCCCATACTCTCCAACTCTATACATAGCTCCTGCCAGATTCATTTGCTTGGGGGGCTGCTTGGGACAAGACAGGTCGCTGCTCCTCTCTTGGCGATGGGCATGACCAATTCGCGACTTGCTGTGGATAGTAGCGTTGGAAGCGGAGTTAGGGGTCTCAGTTGTAGGGCAACTCAAGTTCAAGATACCTTGTGAAGTCGGAATATTTTGTTTGTTCTCGACCATGATGTTTTGTAGGTGCCGATACTTAAGCCTCAGGATGCGTGTCGTTGCCGCTTAATGAAGTACGGCCGGATAATACCGAATTGACAGTTCGAATCCCTCAACAAAGGTCCTCAGCCACTCGATCCCGTGATAAGATGGAAGCCGAGGCTGATCGCCGCCATCTTCATGTCCCTCGCATTGTGCGGTGCCGACAATGATGACGAATATGAACTGCACGACGATGGTGGTGATGGCGACGACAATGTATCATGCTGCTGCTGCTAGTGATGATGATGAGGATGATAGTGGCTGTTGTGACGAGTCGTGATGGTGGCGGTGATGAGCGAGCCGATGAGATCACTGAGAAGAACAAAAACCTGAATCAAAACCGTGAGATGCTGCTGCTGCCGCCACTGCTGCTTCGGGGCAGACGTGGCTAGTACTTTCGTATTTGCTGCAGAGGCAACAGTTAAAGCAGCTGCTGCCCCTCCTCCTCTGACTGCTGTAGTGCTACTGCCGCTACTGTTACTACTGCTGCTGCTGCTGCTGCTGCTGCTACTATTCTACTACTACTACTACTA